TCCAGATTCAGAGTCAAGACTTCGTTGGTAGGGGGATGAGTCCAATGCATGAAACCTTCAGAAATCATCAAATGATGCATTCGCATTGGTGTTGTGAACTCGAATTCAACTTTCCTCCATGATTTATCAACTCCAACGTTTAATATATAAAAATACCTCTTTTCGCATGTTGCACTCCAAGGACAAAATACAACCGCTTTATACTCCATGGAATCCGGCACATACCCAATTGCATGAAATCCAATTTGAACACGCTTCACAAGTGGAGGGAGAAGAACGACTTGGCCTGTTGTGGGATTCATGACATACAGCTTATCCCTATCCCCTAGCTGATTCTCTAACCACAATCCATTACAACTACTTGTGATAGGACGCCTGCGTTTGTACCTCAACCTAGAAATCTCGACTCGGACCCCTCCTTGTGGGAGCATTAAATATGACCCCTGAATTGTACAGTGGAATAGGAGTCCATAAGTGGCGTGCTCTAAGTAGAAGCGCATGAAATTACGTGTGTGAATGATATGGCACCATTCTCGGCAAACAAGCCTTGCCTCATAAATATCTTTGCCTGGGATGCGTGCAAGGACTTTCATCAACAACTCATCAGATAGAGAGTCTATGCCTGAAGTTGGCCTCTTCTTTTTACACCTCCTCGGGTAGAATGTGCGCCCACCAATAATCTGCATATGATGGGGAAAAACTGAGAATTTGACCTAAAAAAATACAAATTATTTATATAGATCTAACCTAACCAAACCTGGTGATCGCGTGGAAGCAGGAATTTGAAGGGTGCAACCTCAGCGCTCCCTTCTTCTTTGCTGGCAGCCTTTGGTAGTCGAGGCGGCGGTGGCTGCCGCACCATTGACTCTGGGATCTCAGGTGACCACCGAGTTCTCTTAGAAATAAGCCTATACATCGATTAACGATCTGCATACAAAACTCTGATAAATAAACAAATCACAGAAANTGAATTTTTTTTTTTTTTTTCGGTACAATAAAGGGGGGCCGAAGCCTACTGAAAACTAAGAAAGGATGCGACGGGGATAAGCTACCCCAATAATATCATGCTCGAGCCACTTGCCTAAGGACGGCGGGGGAACGGGAAGATGGTGTACTCCTAGGGGTTCGGACGCCGCTAAAGAAGCCAGGTGATCCGCAGTGAAGTTCGCTTCGCGAAATACATGAGCCAATACTACCGACCATTCACGATCTCGCAGATCCCGTATGGCCCGAACAAGGCTATCATGGATCCCACCCATGTCCTCTTGTCCCATCACCATAGTAATCACGCTACTATTATCAACCTCCGCCACCACCTTTCTAGCGCCCACAGCCCATGCAAGAGATAGCCCATGGAAGAGACCCCACAGCTCAGCACCGGTAATGGAGCACATGCCGGCATTCATCAGAAATCCTCCAAGCCAGTGTCCCCGAGAATCGCGAACCAATCCTCCTGCACATCCACGACCCGTGTGGGAGGAGAATGCTCCATCCGTATTAACCTTCACCCAGTCTGATTGCGGCAAAGTCCAACTAATCAGGCGAGTTTCGTAATGCCGGGCTAGAGAACCCAACTTCACAATACCGGCGGTCGCTGCTAGACACCCCACCACTCGACGCTTGATATCACACACCTTAGCATCCACTCGCAACGACAAGTTAGAAAATATAGTCGCATTCCGCCAAGACCAGATCCTCCAGCATGTAATAGAGAAGGTCACCGGCCAATCAGTGTCGGGAAAATCCGCTGCCGGTGTTAAGTTGAACCACAACCAGTCAGCAAGGTCGAGCTCCAAGAAACGCGCACGGGTAGAAGCAGGCACCAAGTGAGTCCAAACGAGACGGGCCGCGGCACAATCGCGAAGAGCGTGTAAAGTGGATTCCGCCTCATCACACATTGCACAGTCTCCGGAGTCGACCAGGTGCCGTCGACGGCGTTCCATATTGGTGAGTAGACGGTCATGAGCAACAAGCCAGAGGAAATGTCGAACTCGCTGGGGTACCGGTGTCCGCCACACCAGCTTCCACAAGGGTCTTACCGCAAGAGTGTCATGGCTGGCTAAGAGATTGTAGGCGGACTTAGTCGAAAAGCGCCCCGAGCTAGTTAGCCCCCAAACCAGTCGATCTCTGCCGGCGTCAGCTTGTGGCGGCAAAGCCGCCGCTATACGCATTACCATCGTCGTCGGGAGCAGGGCTGCGAAGGTATCCCACTTCCAGCCGCCGTTCACGTCCACAAACGCCGAGACCGTCTGTGACAATAAATCTGATGGGACCGGGCCTACGGCAGCCTTGATCAGCGGTTGTTGCGTGCCAAGCCAATTGTCGAGCCAGAAGCGACATGTCATGCCATTTCCCAGCGCCCACCGACAGCCCCGCGCCAGCTGTGGCCATATCCTCGCTATCGCCCGCAAGCATACCGAACCTCTCGGAAATTTAAAGTCACATGGCATCGTTAAAGGATTGAGCCTATACTTGGCACAGACCACTCGCACCCACAAGGAATGAGACTGAGGTTTGGATAAAAGCGCCCATCCCAGCTTCATTAGAAGAGCATCGTTCATCAACCGGGAATCCTTCAGTCCTAGCCCACCACACTCGCGGGGTTTGCACACGCCCGGCCGCCGATAAGGATGCGGCCTGCCAACCAGCCAAACGCCCCTCCGCCTTTTCCAGGATCCCCGAGAAAGTGGTTTTGTTGACACGACCATTGATGAGCGGCATGCCCAAGTAGCGGCCCAGGTTAGTGACTCTGGAGAAGCCGCACCTTTCAGCCAAGTCGTGTTGGACGGCCTCATCAACGACCTTAGAGAAGAACACCTGCGTTTTGGATGTGCTAATTTTCAGTCCAGAAGCCGCACAAAATTTCTCTAATACTTCAGTAAGGGTACTCGCCTGGCCAGGGTCGGCTTCCAGAAATAGTAAGAGGTCATCAGCGAACATAAGGAACGGAACGCTGACCGCCCCTCGTCCGAAACCGATAGGTTTCCATTTACCCTCCTGGACCGATTGGCCGATTTGCTGTGCCAGCCTTTCCATGCATAGGACAAACAAGAAAGGAGACATAGGGTCACCTTGGCGTACTCCCCTGGTCGGAAGGAATTCATCACAAACTTCGCCATTCCATAGAAGACGTATAGAGGCTGAGGAGACACAAGCCATGATAGCTCGCACCATCTTTTGCGGGAAACCTGCCAGAACGAGTGTTTCGTGTATGAAATCCCATCTCAAGAAATCATATGCCTTTTCTAAATCAACTTTGACCACCATGTGCCCTGTACCCCCCCGGTATGTGTTCATAGTATGGATGAGTTCTTGGGCCACGATAATGTTGTCAGTTATGTGACGACCCGAGACGAAAGAGGCCTGGGCCGGGTGGACGAGATCCGGAAGCAGGGTCTTCACACGGTTGACAATCACCTTAGTGAAAATCTTGTAAACCACATTGAGGAGGCTAATCGGCCTAAATTGCTTGATCGTTGTCGGTGCCGTGACTTTCGGGATAAGCACCATGAGAGTTTGATTAAGCGAAGAGGGGACCTCACCCCCGTCCCACATCCGACGAAGTAAGCCTCCCACCGATGGTCCTACCGTTCCCCAATGTTGTTGGAAGAAGATGGCGGGTAGCCCATCAATCCCCGGTGCCTTTAGCGGACCCATTCCTTTTAATGCGTCGAAAATCTCGATGTCTCCTAAATCCCGCCCCAAGACCGACAAACGTGCAGCCGCCAAAGGTGGAAAGAGGTTAGCACTCGCGACATCGGGTGCCGCTGCTGGTTCTGCCGTGTAAAGCTTTTTAAAATACTCCATACCCATCTTCCGTAAAAGGTGATGCTCATGAATTTGAGCTCCACTGTCATCCAGCAGGGAAGTGATTGTATTGCGAGCCCGACGAACTTTAATCTGGCGATGGTAGAACGCCGTATTTTTGTCGCCAAATAATGTCCAGTCGCGTTGGGATTTTTGTAGCAAGAGTAGCTCTTCATGCAGGAGAACCTCATCTAATTCTCGCCGTAGTTTCCTCTCCAGTGTGACTAGGCTCGTCTTAAAGTAGAAGCGATAGGATCTTTGAATCCCCCCGATGCGTGCCATAAGGCGTTTCTTACGCTGGAAAATGTTCCCAAATGTATAAGAATTCCACTCCCGTACCTCCTCACCAAATCTGGTCGCCGCGGCCAAATAATCAGTACCCTCTTTCCACACCGACCCCACAACACGCGGGAAGTCTTCGTGTAACAGCCAAGCGGCTAAGAAGCGACATGGTTTTACCCCGCCTCCATTAGAAGTGTGATACTTGGACTGTAGCAAGATAGGAGAGTGGTCCGACTGGATGCGTGGTAGGTAAAGGGCCCGACCCTCCGAATACCGGTCCAGCCACTCTAGGTTAACAATGAAACGGTCAAGCTTTTCAGCAATTGACCCTCGGCACCAAGTAAAGCAGTTATCCCCAGCATTTAGTTCGAATAGGCTGTGAGTAAAAATCCAGTTCTGGAAGTCAGAGCTGATGTTATAACTCGAGGATGAACCTCCCATCTTCTCGGAAGGCCGGAGAAGGCAGTTAAAGTCACCTCCGATAACCCACGGGCCTCGGGTTTGTCGCGCCAGCTCATTTAGCGAATTCCATAACAAGCAACGTCGGCCTGGATTTGGTGAGGCGTATATAAAAGTAGCTGCACATTCTTCCTTGTCTGTACGAACACGAGCATGCACAAACTGGCGCCCAAACTGAAGAATCTCTAAGTCCACACCCTCCTTCCATAGGATCCAAATCCCTCCTGAGAACCCATTAGCTTCAACCCGGAAGGAATAGGCAAATGAGGTTCGTTTGATGAATTTATCCGCATTCTCCCCACTTATGCGGGGTTCAAAGAGTGCAACAACATCCGGTCTGTTCTGTTGAACGAGAGTTAGGAACGCCATCCTGAAATCCTCTGAGGCCGCTCCTTGTACATTCCATGTCATCAAATGCATCGATAAACAGAAGAAGAGAGGGGAAAGAGCCTTTAGAGATCAGCAGGGGCCTGTGCGGCTGGTTGAGCTATTTCGACTGAGCCGATCATATCCGTGTCTTGACCACCAGGTGCAGGATTTGTATGCACGTTCCCGTCCGGTAAAGGAGGCGGTCGCCAGCCTGCTGGAGTATCCTTACACATATCCTCTAAGCCTTTGGAATCACCAGGGTCAGGAGGTTGTGCCATGGTCATCTCGTGTTCATCGAGCACTCTCACAGCGTGGTGCCTAGATGGGTCTAGCCCCGAGCCGACCGACACCGTCAATAGATGTGAACCCCCTAGTTGCTGTTCCCGAATCCCATCAGTGTCCATCAAAGGTTCCTGCTGAGCCACCTCACGATTCTTAAGACGCTCCTGAACCGATCCACTGGTCGCCACTGGCACAACGACTGACCCTCGGTTCGCCAGTGCCCCTCCGGATGACTGCCCATGAGCTGATCCAGTTGAGCTCGTTTGTCGTCTCCCCTTCTTACTCGCGACCCGCCATTCATGCGCTCCCAAACCCTTCTCTGTGGAACTCGATGGTTTGTCCAGGTGGATGTGCGTCGCCCCGAAGCTAAAGCTTTCCGTCTGTTTATCAGTAGTCCGTTCACCAGCTCCCCCTAACAAGTCAAAGCGGGTACCCCCAGAGAAGCCAACAGTTTTTGTCGCCTTATCCCGGTCTCCTTTCTCCCGTCTCGTAGATGCATTGCGAACTCTCTGGGGAACTTGAATCCATGGCCCGTACTCCGATGTAGAAGGATCCCATGCCTTCTCCTTCTCTAACGGTTGGTGTATCCCACCCTTATCGCCCTCTGGTACCATCGTTGCCTGGGCACGGTCCTCCGGTTGGGTCGTGGCGGTATCCTTGGCGGAGAAGCAGCCATTAACGTCATGCCCATATCGACCACATTTAAAACAAATCACGGGGAGACTTTCATATTCTACTCTTTGGAAGCGCCCGTTGATCGTGAATTGGGCACATAGCGGTTTCGAAAGGTCCACCATAACGGCTAGTCGAGCATATTTCCCGCGCAGCAGAGAGGCCGTTTGATAGTCTATCTTCACCACTCTGCCCAATATATGGCCTAATTGTCGGAAAACTCTCGTATGGTAGAGGTGTACCGGCATCCCTGGAAGCCGAATCCACGCTACCACATGGGACAGCTTCGCCGTAGTTGCGTCAAAATCCAAGGACCAAGGTTGAACGTGCAAGTATCCTGTACCAATAACATACGGGCCCCCCACTAGCGTGCGGACCGCATCGTCATGTGTAGCAAAGTGAACAAGAAAGAAGCCATTATCCAGGTCCATCATGTTACAACCCACCATATGAGGCCACAATTTAGTCAGACGGTTGTAGAGAACCGCGTGTGACAGAGACCCGTCCATTGGTTTAATTACCACAGCGTTCTGCCACTCTTTGGCAACTTCATCAAAAAAGCGGTTCGCAATTTTAACGTTCGGTAGGGGCGGGGAGAAATCAACCACGATGTCCTCTTCAACTACCTTTGTTGCTGCTTTGTCATTCTCAATGTCAACATGTGGACGGTTTTTAGAGAACATATCCCGAAAGCTCAGTCGTGGGCCGGCGGGTGCCGGCGATGGAGTTCCCGTAGGGGGCAAAACGGGTTTCGAAACCTTAGGCTCTTCGTTCTCCGGATTCGGGTTAGTTCCTTCCAAAGGACGCCGCCGCTTGGAGTATCGGCCATTGACAAGCGGGGGGATCGTGGCCTTACTGAGGACTGGAAACGCCTCATCTGGCCGGTCTGGGGGGTCGTCGCCGGGGTCCACGGTGTGGCCGGTGGCCGGGAATTGCAGATTTTGGGACATTAGGGTTCGTCAGAGAGAAATCCCCCCTTCGTTTATTTTGTTTTTTTTGAAATTTTTTAAAATGAGAGAATTGTAAATGAGACCAAATTTACAATTCTCTCATTTTTTGAAATTTTTTAAAATGAGAGAATTGTAAATTTGGTCTCTTGACTGTTTTCTAAATTTTGTCTCAGACACGTTTCCCGCTCCGTCAAGACTTAACTAGTACTGACCCGTGTGATGCACGACATGGTATATTTTTCTGAAACTTTTTTAATATTAACATTAAATTTAATGCACTTGTAGATATGTAACAAATGTAAAATGGAAAAAAAAAACAAATTTAAACTTAATAAATTAATAAATACTTCTTTGTACACAACGTTTTGGGTCTGATTTGGTGGCAAGTCATCGTCATTACAGATTAATATTTTCAATTCACTTCTTGGTGACGCGGGAGGCGACAACATATAATTGATCATGACTGAACACCGACTTTTTAAGAAATAAACCAATATGCGATAACGACTATCCTTGACTCTTGTTGATAGTCATGGCATAAGAAACCATAATCGAAAATTGTCGCCTCTGAAATTTGAAAGGAATTCTGACATCGGAAGGAGTAATAGTCATTCTAGGAATCAACACCTTTTCGCCTTCGTGATCCCCAGTGAGTATCTTACACTCAGAACATGAGCAGATAGTTTTGTCACAACCAACCGTGTCCATTACATAAACCCATAGAATGATCCATATTTTGCAACAACATGACGGAAGTTCCAATCTTCGAATTGTTTATTATTAGTTATTATTTAACAAATTATGTTTATAAAAAAAATTAAGGGATCTTATATATTAAGCGGATAGTTTTGTCACAACCAACCGTGTCCATTACATAAACCCATAGAATGATCCATATTTCGCAACAACATGACGGGAGTTCCAATCTTCGAATTGTTTATTATTAGTTATTATTTAACAAATTATGTTTATAAAAAAAATTAAGGGATCTTATATATTAAGCGGATAGTTTTGTCACAACCAACCGTGTCCATTACATAAACCCATAGAATGATCCATATTTCGCAACAACATGACGGGAGTTCCAATCTTCGAATTGTTTATTATTAGTTATTATTTAACAAATTATGTTTATAAAAAAATTAAGGGATCTTATAGATTAAGCGGATAGTTTTGTCACAACCAACCGTGTCCATTACATAAACCCATAGAATGATCCATATTTCGCAACAACATGACGGGAGTTCCAATCTTCGAATTGTTTATTATTAGTTATTATTTAACAAATTATGTTTTTAAAAAAAATTAAGGGATCTTATATATTAACCAAAATTCTAGTAGAGAAAAAGTAGAGATTTTTAGAGATTTTCACGTTATTTTATTTTTAAATTTAATACAAAATCTTAATTAAGAAAAATTAAAAAAAAAACATTAGTTCCTGAAAATGAACCGAATTTTCTACCAATACAGGTAAAACATGGCTAAGAAAAACATAAGAATAAAAAAAAAAACGATTCAAATTTTAAAAAATTGCACAGGATTTTTCCTTGTAAAATTTGCACAAGATTTAAAAATTGATTTGAATTATTTTTTCTAAATAATTGGATAAGGTTTGACATTAAATATTTAAAATGAACCGATTTTGTTACCAAAAAATGTGGATACGATTTTAAATGTATATCCCGTCCAAATCTCAACTTTAAAAAAAAAAATTGCACGTGGTTGTATCCAATTTTCACACATTTTTAAGAGATAAAAAATATTCAAAAAGATTGGATGAAATTGTTAAGAATTATACAACTATTTGTTTCCTAAATTTGTATCCAATTTACACGGTTGTTAAACTAATTTGTATTTATATTTGTTTCATAAATAATTGACACATCAAATTTTCCTAAAAATACAACCGAATTTTCCTAACATTGCACCAATTTTTTTACCAAATAACTTGAATTGAAATTAATTACAATAAAGAATTGGAATAATTTGTTAAGGTTTATGCAACTATTTATCTCCTAAAAAATTGATATGAACTTCACAAATAAATTGATATGAATTTTTACTAAAATCTCGTAAAACATGGTTAAGAAAAAACATAAGAATAAAAAAAAATTGATGCATTCAAATTTTGAAAAATTGCACACGATCTTGAAATTGATTTAAATTATTTTTTCTAAATAATTGGATAGGTTTGACTTTAAATATCTATGATTAAGCGATTTTGCTACCTAAAAAATGTGGATATGATTTTGAATGTATATCCCGTCCAAAATCTCAATTTTGTTTCTAAAGAATAAAAATTCCACGTGATTTTATCCAATTTTCACACATTTTTTAAGAGAAAAAATTAGTCAAAAAGATTGGAAGCAAAATACTAACTGGTCGAACACTTAATCAAGTGTGGAACTCAGACTGATCACAGTAATGTTTTTAATATTGTTTAATTTAAAATAGATGATACCTTTGTATCTGTTGATTTTAATTTATTTATGTTGTTAAATAGATACTGAATATATGTTTAAAGTAAACGCCAAGGTATATTTGTTAGCTGGTGATTATTATAAGATGAAAAATGACATCTGTTTGAATTATATTTGAATATTGTATTAGTGACTATTTAACAAAAATCACTATATTGTCGTGATCATCTAATCTGAAAAGGTAAATTATCATGATTTTCATACACGAAAGATATAGAATCACAAATTTTCATTTCATGAATGTAATTATATTATTTGGAATTTAAATATAATTTTTTCTGCATGTGTGTATGGAGGATTACATAGAACATTACATAAACAATATTATCAGCTGAAAAAATTGCAGGTGAAAAAGGTATGAAAAAAATGATATTATTGTTTTATTGAAGTTTTGTTTGATCAACTGAAGGTTTCTGTGAACTAACTATGTGTATTGTTTTATTGTTTTATGCTACAACCATGCATCCCATCAATAAGGCCAAATAGCAAGTCATAAACTAATACATGCATCCCAAATCACAATACTTCCATCGACTGAGCATGAGGTGAATACAAATGGTTCTGTTGGACTCCACTGAAACTTAAGTAGTTAACCATCGATACAGTATTTTCCCCCGTATATATATTTTTAACAAAAAACATAAGGATACAATAACACTCCTTACATTTCAGTATTTACAGACAAACCGAGGGAATATTTGGAATAGTAAATTCGCACTCTGAATCAATCTGTAAATTTCCTCTTCATTAAGCAAAGAAATTTTACGAAAGCGTCCTGTAGCATGCCATCAATATATTCAGAACTCTTTTTTTGTCGGGTTATTCAAAACTTCTTTGCTGTTTTTTGCACTTGTATGAAAACTCAGGAGTAATTTCCATAATCATTCTAAAAAAAATAGGAGCACAAATACACCTGTAAATCTTCGACACTTGCATTATGACCAACAAAGGGACTCGCATCAATATTCCATGTAGAATCAGATGCGGGTTCCCTCAGATGAATACTACTCTTGCAATCCCCTGCATGAAAAGCAGAATCCAAAAACGTAACTCAAAAGAAATGCTTTGAGAAGAAGATTTACAGCAATAAAATGAAAGGCTTCGAGCTAACTCATACCCGACGCAAATCTTCCAGCAATGAGAGGACTCCAATCCATGGCATAACCTTCATCTTTTTGTCCAGAAAATCTGACTATAGGAGCTTGATTGGAATCAGTGGGTCCCAAACGGATAGCTTCAGCTTCCGATTCTACCAAAGACTTCAATTGCGAGCTCAAGCCCCACATCTGTAAAAAGCATCACATCGGGAAATCTACAATATTCGAGCTACACAAGATATTCATCTTCTAGACTAATATTTTCGCGTTCTAATCAATTACCATGAGCACTAAATAAAACATTCATCATCAAGATGAATTAATATCGGAGTACTTGAAAACAAATATTAAAACATCAAAGTCCACGAAACTTCATAGCTATTTTCCTTTATACACAAGCGTAAACACTTAAACAAATAAATAACATACTCGCCTGAACATGACCCGTATCTGCCCAAGAAGCACATATATGAGGATTTTGGCGCATAGCACGTATGCGGTCCATGCCTCCTACATGAGGGACCTTTGGTAACTGCAGATACATTAATAAATGATGTAAAATTGAACAAAAAAAAAAAGAATTTTACAAGCTTACCTGCAAAATTGGGGAGCCTGGTCCACTGCCGTATTCCCCTTCATCCTCATTACTATCACTACTTTCTAGAGATAACCCTACAGAATCCAGTTAAATCTCATCATTGAAATATAAAATTTGCCAAATTTCACTTCACAAACACACATTCTATTTTATATTTCTTTGTTCTACCAAAAAAAAAAAACCCAATTTATTATCCAATTTTATCTCACCAGCTCCAGCCTCCAGAAGCATTCTACGAAATATGGATTGTCCAATTCCCTTAAACCCCAAGAGCAAAACCCTCGTCCAAAATCCCAAAAATCACAGCATGTAGAGATTTTAAGATCTTATAAAAAAAATACCATAGGGGCTTGAGGAAAAATATCCCATTCCAATAATATTCATAATTTCGCATAGATCTACAAAACAAACTATAAAAAAGAAAAAAGAAGAAGATCAAGATTTTAAGATCTTATGACAAAAGTACCTCAGGGTATCGTCAGCTCGGTCACACGTTCCATCTCCATCTTAAGATCTGGCGAAAAAATCCTGGTTATGCGTATCAATTAATACCCTTTCACTTCGTCCTTGCTTTTTCCTAAGCTGTTGGAGGAGCGAAAGCGAGTCTTCGGATTTTAAGCACCCCCTTGCGTTGTGGACCACGCCTTTGGAGATGAAAGTCTGGAACATTCATACAATTTCGGCGTTTGAGAATTTGATCTGCACATTTATCTTCAATTAAAACATGGAAAGATCTTGTTAAGATATTATTGTTGTTAACGATAATGAAGGATTGATTTTGATAAGATACTAAATTGATTTTGATAAGGTTGTAATTTAAAAGATTGCTAAATATAAGGAATGACCATTTCATTCAGCCGAAATATAAGGAATGACAATTTGAAATTACACGGATTTTAAAAGATTGCCATATTCAGTAAGTCAACTTGGTTGACTCTGATTTTTTTAAACTTTCCTCATTTGATTTATTGACCTCTCTTTTTCAATATATATAGATCATACTATTTTTATCTGCCATTCACACGCGTTTCATACATACTTTAATCATTTACCTAGACATGGCCAAAGGGTCGCCCGGTCCTCCGACTCGACCCTGACCCGGTACGGACCCGGCCCGGTCAAACCCGTTGACCACGGGTTCGAGACCGGCCTGGATTTTAGAAGAACCGTGTAAGGGTCATTCGTTTCATGACTCGGCCCGGAAGGTCAGGGCCAGATATTCGATAAAATATTCTATGAAATTAGAGGCCGGGTCGATGACCATTCTTTTTAATTTATTTATTATTTTTTATACTCTTTTTAAAAAAAAGTACGGACCCGGCCCTTTATTCTTAGCAGTGCGGGTCGGCCTCATCTTCTTGCAGCAGCCCAATTGGTCACTTTCATGAGAAATGGTCATTCATTAATCACATTAGTTTAATCTCCTTTCAATAATAATTAGTACCAGCACAAGATATACCCTCTTACTACATGTGTGTTAACTAAAAATTTATACGAAATATTTGAAATAAAATAAAACTTCCTATCAATTTTAAGTATTTCTTGAAATACACGTTATTATTTTTATATAAAACAACATCTATCATCATATAATTGCTTGTCTTCTATTATAATAATTTTATTAATTCATATAATCTAATGCACTTGATATATAAAATTATTTAAATAATATCTAATATTTTTATATGTAAAATAAAAATATTATTTATTATACATAAATCTGATACGTGTCAGGTTGAGTATCTCAAAAAAAAAAAATGATTGATTTAGTGCATCATATATGACAAACAAATAATGAATAAATATTATTAATTTTTAATTGGTATAATTACAAATTACACTCGACAAATACTGACAGAGATAAATTTTCAAATCTAACCACTTAAATCATGCAAAAATTAAATATAAAATATTGACAATAAAAATTACATATAATATCCGAACAAGGTTATGTTATATATATGACGATGGCATTGGCAAGAGTTTCCCCTTCCCTTGCTATATTTATTTATTTTCTTGAAAATGATGCTCGTGCTATTTATTTTCTTCTTCCTATGCCATTCAACTCTTCTTACTCCCTTTCAAGGTCATCATTCATGAACTAAATTAATTAATAGCTCGTAGAGTTTATTATAGCCCACATTTACAGAACTACAATTCCAACTCCGCA